TAATGGTTTACCTGAAGATTAGTAGTCTAATTTTGATCGTTTGCAGTTCAACCGTCTACCCCTATACTCTTTTTGGCTGCATGATGTTAAACGAACTCGGAACGGAACATTTGGGACGGTTTGTTGAATGCAAATTCAACTAAACATGCCACATATTACAGCATAAGCAATCGGAACACTGTGGTTCGACTTCCAGTGCCGGGGAGACCTTAAGGCTAAGAAGTAAGAGGCGGCTTTCATTTGCATGACTATTGCACACTTTGCCACGGGGTACTCGAAAGAACCGACTGTGATCCGCATGAGAGACACGTTCAATGTGGTTGGTGGGCGAACTGTGCAATGTGCCCTTTTCAAGCTACGGAATAAATTAACCAATCGTGTCAAACCTGTTTTACACCCAAATGACACCAACTCATGGTGTGAGCGAGAGTATAACGTCTTACGCCATCCTATCAAATAATATGTGTAATATAATCTACGATGACAAAAGACAACCCTCGGCTTTTGCAAACTTTCCTCAACCCTACCTTATAAGCTGTACTAACCAATTCATTGACTATAATTATAATCAACGGTTGGTAATATTACATCGTGTATGTATATTTACTAGAATCAACACCATTTTCGTGGTATTTTGGCCAAATTTAGTTTTAACTTTAAAATTGACCAGGAGCAACTTCGGAATTGAGCTTTCCAGTAGACGACCTTTTGATTGGTTGGGTGCCATCATAATTTTATTTCTGGCCTTTCTCATTTTGAATTATGTGGAGCAGTAATTACCATGCGAAATCTTTAACAGGCATCGGCCACTCCCATCACTGGGACCTCATTACATCTGGTTTTTGGATTGCCAACTAAATCGTCTTACATACACTCAATACAGATTGTTTCATTCCAAAGTAACTCAAAGACACCAGCTGAATCTGTTTGCTTGGTGTTGAATTTCTTTTGAAACCTGTCCATCGAACTGCATATGGGGAGAAGACCATCCTAGGCAGATGGGCAGGTCAACCGTGATGAAGGTGTTTAGGGGAATCATGTTAAACGCTCTAGCAATACAGGGATCTGCTTGACAGCGGAGGCGATCTGGTTCTGAGCATCACTTTTAATTTACCTTCCTGCTGCCAAATTGGAATCTTGTGAGGGAGTCGAGAGTACAAATGATCGATTGGAAAGGTTCTCTACAGATAATTGCAGGGAAAACTCAATCTTGTTTCGAGCTGACAACAGCTCTGTTTCTAGCTTAATGGAGGTCATTGGACTTAGACTATCAGTGTGTTCTGTACTGTGTAATGGCTCCGAGAAGCACGCTTATAAGTTGAGTTTTACTTATTCCTTGTTTTGACACATTAGGTTGCATTGTCTAATGGAAGGTATTAATAAGAATAAGAATAATAAGGCATATCTATGGGTTCCTCAGGTCAGGTACTACGGATGACAGAGGCTCTCGCCGCTACGTGAAGGGGCCCGCGGCACCTCGACGTTGGATTGACCCTTCTTGCTTCTGCAAAAGAGTATAGCAAGAGCAAGAGCAATCTTTGTACTTCACGTGTTAATAACCGAATACATTACAAATTTTAGTATAATTACAAATTCCTGGAAAAAAGTCAGACCAACTCGGTTCGTAAAATATTTCGCCCTAATGTTCAAATGAATCGTGTGATGTTTGAGCTTCAAGCGATGCCCGTTCATGGGGTCCGACGTAGCTAACTCAAACAGATGGGTAGGGTTGATACCACTAGTGATTTTAAGCTTCTTTATCAAATCCCCTAGCAATTTGCGCCGTTCCAAGAAAATACTCCGAAGCTATTTAGACGATCTTCGTACGACTTCCCTCGTTGACCTTCAATCATTCTGGTCGCAAGTTTCTGAATCTTTTCTATACAAATGATGTCAACCCGGAGTTACAGTGCTCAGGCCTGAACACGGTACTCCAGATGTGGCCTAACCACTGCTTTATATAACGGCAAGAATACTTCTGCTTTAGTGTTACTCAGTGCCCTCCTAAGACGAAATAACTCTTGTCGCGCTTTATCGGCAGCATGACGGCACTGTGCCGAAGGCATAAAATTGTTCACTACGATGACACCTAGATCACGGGCTTCACCGTACACCGTAATGACAGAGATCCCACAGAAGAGTGAACTGCAATTCAGCTACCACTATTGGTCAATAGTTGACATTTATTGGCATTCAGAGGTAAACCCCATTGGCTCGACCAATTCACCACAATGATGATATCCTTAGTCAATATGGCGTGATTTCCCTGACTGACTAGCTTCAAGTCAAGTGCGGATATAGCAGGGATCCTCAAGAAGAGAAGGAGCCAGGTCATTTATAAACATACGAAAGAATAATGGACTCAGTACCGAACTTTGGGGACACCGTTGTACGCAAGGCTTACACTAAAACTTGCTTCCCCAAGACCGACAATGAATGTTCTTCCAGGTAAGAAACCAGGAAGCCATAGTAATATTTAAGGATGCAATTCCAAACGTGTCAGCGTCTCAACTATAAATCGGTGATTCACTTAGTCAAAAGCTTTACTAAAGCCCAAATAGCATACCTCTACCGATATCCCACTATCAAGACATCGGTTAATCTCAAAGCTGAATTTAGGGATCACGCCGTGTGGTTGGGTTGCGACTCGCAACCTCTATTGTGACCTCAGCTCACTTTGAGGTAAACCTCGGTCATTCCGATCTTGAGGACCGTATCCTGATTGGAGATATTTGGGTGTTGCTCTTCCCAACACTGGCGCACCAGGACCGCGGTCTCGTCCTGGTTTGGACTCGTCAGGTGGAGATAGCCTGAGCTGGGGTGGAACTCAGAGCTTAGTAGTTCATGGCTGACGCCTTGAACACTATGCTACTGAGATCCGCGAGCCACGCTTGACACAGCGGAAAGTAATTCAAAGCTGAATTTAAAAGCACACCCTGTGGTTGGGTTGCGACTGGCAACTTCTATTGTGACCTCGGCTGATGCTAATGTTACACCCATGACGCCTATCCAATGCAGTTCGGATAAAGCAACTTACACTCAAACTAAATCTTTTTAAGCTGGACAGATTTCATTGCAATTTAATTGGCCTGTTCTGCTTACCTGAATAATCTGCTATTAAATTGCACTCGTTGCTTGTGTTAATTGAGCTTATCTTCGTTAACTTTATTGCGCTTGTAGCATATTTCGAGTAAACAGTGAACATTTCGTACTTATCGCGGATTCCTTGCTAACCAACTTACTTCATATGGTAATTTAGCGTAGAGTTATGCCACCGTATCTGTATGCATTATCCGATTTATTTTATTTCATCTTGTCGTTTAAAGTGCTTGGTTCTTGCTTGATATCCCCGATTTGGCTGCGCTTGATGTGCACGTTGACAAAGTGCCTACCTGTCTATAACCCACTACCTCGTCCATACTGGCTCTAGGAGACCGTTGGTCGTTGCTGGAGGGGACGGGGTGCATGGTCCTTGTGACCGTGTTAGGCTCGAAGAGTGGTTCTATGCACTCAGCGTGGAGCGGACTACGGTCCAGCCACCGCCTTGTGTGCGCTTGATTCCGTAAATACAGCGTTCTTGTGTTTGCCTGCGAAGGAGTGTGATCCGGCTCCCTAGATGAAACGTGGATCCTATCTACATGCCTCCCGATCGCATTCCTTGGTGTTTACACTGGATATGGGTTGTGTGGATGGAGCTGTGGCTGATGCAGCTCAAGCCACGCATGGTCCCTCTGTAGGTGCGAGCGTCTTGTGGCTGGCCACAGTGACACACAAATCCGAAACCGGATGCCGGCAGTCATATATATATATATATATATATATATATATATATATATGCCCAGGCTTCTTTTCGGCTCAAACTTTAGTATCATTGCAAGGCAGGTATGGCTGCTTAAGCAGAACAGGAATGGTGGCTGCAAAGTGGTTAAATCAGTTTAGATTGCAATTCTTTTACATTCCGCGTTTATTAGTGGACCTATGAGCATTACTTCACTGAGTAAGGAGCTAGTGAAGGGTGAAGGAGTTTTGAGAAGAAATACCGTAACTAGACCCTACCGGACATCCATCACACATCCATGAAATCGTTAGCTTGCCTTTTCGTCCCATTGGAATTGTCAGTAGCACACACGCCTCGGATCCCACCGGATTCGAACCCATGCGCTTACTATTACAAACCAATGATTTATGCTACTGAACCACGGACGAAAGTAACAACCGCCATGTTTGGTACGTAACAGCGATATAGCACAGCTGATCCCCACCGTCCTGCATTTTATGAAGGTACACAGGACAGCGCTTGTCCCGGAGCCACGAGTTCCGTTTTGCAGGCCATTACCAAGCGAGGTGGTATGAAAACTACTAAGACGATTACTAATGAATACTAAGTAGTAGGGGCATTTTTGAGGTACGGGCAAGAATCATCACACAATGAGGGGGATTGTCAACTTTTCCGCTATCTTTCGGTAACGCACTGCTTTGGGAGAGGCTGGCCAAATAAAGTGACTGTGTGCGACATTTTTTGCTTTTCACTAATCTACACACCTCTATCGCGCTTTCCTCCTCAGTTAGTATTTTCTCGGAGTACTTTAGTGGCAGCATTGTTCTTACGCATTGTACTGCCAGGTAATAAGGAACTACCTTTATGAAAGTTGGATGCAATTCGCAGGCCCTTATTTCAACAGGCAGGTGGTTCCAGATTTCGCTGTATCTGTTAGGGCAAACGTATCTTCGGACATTATTTCTCCTTTTTGACAATGGGGTGTGTACTTGGTGCAGGTACTTTGGTCAAACCAAGTATGGATTTTAATCTCAGCTTCTTTCTCACAGTGGCTTCAGCTGAAGCATCTTACAACGTTCTTAGTTTGGTTACTTGAATACCATCTGAAGTGATTGCTGAATGAAGAAGACTTCAACTAACCCAATTTTTCATTATCACAGATCATTAGCTGTATACTCCACAATAAAACCACATTCCATATCCATTTTCTGCTCCCTTTCAGCGTTCTATTCGACGTAATCGTCAGTACGCCTGCAAGAATCGCAGTTTGAATGGGTCAAAGTTGCCTTTCGGCGGTTGCAGGATAGACAAATCGCATCGCAACCAGTGCAGGGCTTGTCGATTGAGAAAGTGCCTGGAGGCTGGCATGAATAGAGACGGTGAGTTGATCGCCACATGACAGCTCTTAACACATTACATGCATTTCGCAAACCTTAGTCACCTGAGTAAGTGTGGCCACTGATCTGAGCGGTTGTAAGGCTGATTCGGAGCTACGTTGGGAAATAGGGCCTCAGCAGTTACCGCCGAGCTATATGAAATCGCTGACTGGGCAGGATGAATGTCTGTTTTTGTTGTCAAAGATTAACGCGCTTCAGTTGGCAAAGTTCAATCTGTTCAACCTGCGCAATTCACCCGGTTATATGAACAATGAACAATGAATTTATACGGGTTAAAAAGCGTTGCTTTACAATTCCCGTTGGATACTTGGTGGGGATAGCAACATAACAATAATGATGCTAAGGATAGTAAAGTAGTTAATACTTCAATATGAAAATAAGGACTTATCGTTTGCTTCGCTGTAGTCCTGCAATCCTCTTAGATGCACAGCACCCACAGTTAACAACAAATACTTCCATAGTAAACTCCAGGTGTAGGATGGAGACGTAGTATTAAGTGACAAAATGTAAGTGCATGAGTGCTTCGTCCAACCATTTTTTACATACTGTTAGTATCGGTGCAGAGACGACCGATTCTGGGAGAGCATTCCACGGGTTACAGACACGAATGGAAAAGCAATTTCTGTGGCACTCCAGGCGGCTATACTGTACAACAAGTTTCAATGGGTGGTCCCTCAGGTTTATATTGTTGCTGAGTTGCAGTAAAGAGCGGCACACATGATGTAGGTCTTGAAGAATCAAGTATGCCATAATCAGGTCGCCTCGTAGTCTGCGATAGCTTCCACTGAACAAGCCCAGTCGTTGCAGCTTCTCCTGGTCTGAAAGATTGCGCACTCCATTTACGTTCTTAGATGCTCGGCGTGGTGGTTGTTCCAGTGCATTAAGGTCATGTTTCAGCCATGGATGCCGGGCTTGATTTGCGTATTGGACATGGGAGCGAACATACGCACTGAGCAATTGTCGAAATCTGGAGCTGTTTATTTGTCCAAACGCCTGCCTCAACAGTCCGATGTGTTGGTTCTCGGCCTTCTAGGTCTTTTGGGATTGCCTGGAACAACCCGAGTCACCTGGAACCAGGACACCCACGTTACGCTCGAGAGTTGATTGTTGTAGTATATTCGTTCCGAGTCGGTATGAGTAGCTGCTCTGATGTCGGATAGAAAGCACCTTGCATTTACTGACGTTGAAATGCAATAAGTTTTGGGTCCGCCATTGATACACCGTACCTTAGTCACTCTGAAGCACATGTTAGTCGGCGTTCGCCTGGATCCTGCGCCAGATCTTGATATCGTCGGCAAACATTAGGAAGTTTGAAGCGATTCCCTGTGCAAGGTCATTGATAAAGACCAAAAACCAACGTGCACCTAGAACTGAGCCTTGGGACACACCAAACCCGACTTGTATGAGGTCCGTTAAACAGCTCCGAACTCTGAGCACTAATTGCCGTTGAAGTAGAAAGTTGGCGATCCAGCTTAAAAGAGGGTCTCCGATCCCGTAATGCTGCAGCTTAGATAGCAGTATAGGATATAAGTATCTAGTACCTGCCAACACTTAAATTGTACCACAATTTTTATGTAGCACTTAACATGTCTGATTTGCAGAAGCCTTGGGCAAACAATTGCGAGGTATATCAGTCAGGGTGCAATCACTCTCCGTGTAGCCAAAGCTGGTGTAATATATACATTCAGCACAGATATGAACTGCTGTATTGAGTCTGTTTCCAGTATATGCTGCGGTAAATGATGCCAAATATTGACTACACATCGTTCGGAACACAGTGTGGGAAATTCGCTTCAGCTCTCGCCCTACAAACTAGTACCGATATACGCATATACTTTACGGAGCCTGCAACATAGTGAAGTCACCTAGATTTAATGTGCGGTAGTCAAGATGAGATCGATTCACAACCAACGGTAGGTAGGTTCGGAGACCTAGTTTTTCCAACCGGTGTTCGGACGGCAAGTCCCGTAAAAGGAGAATGAGCCGTTTAGCGACGTGTCGGACTGTGGGTTCCCATGTAGACTGTCCGTGTTGTCCACAGACTTGCAATCGCAGTAAGAAGGGGTATGTAGCTCCTTCAAGGAAGGTGTGGAATATAGTAGCATTCAGCCATCAAGCGTGTGAATTCTGCCGTCACCACGCTGCCCCATGCACATAAAGATTTGCTTGATTGGGTTGATCAAGAAAGATATTTCTGTATACCATATGGGGAAGCATTTGAGACCTTACCGGGAAAGCCAACTTTGATCAAGGATGCGAATTATGAACAGAGTGGACCCCTGCATGTTGCAATGGATTAAGCCACTGAAGGAGGAATACCAGTCGTTCAGATGGCAGTCGATCTGTACCCTCCACTTTCGTCCAACTAGAAAATCCCGCAACCACTGATGCAGGGATCCATCAACACTGCAAACTCTCCGTTTGTAAAGGAGGGCCTCATGGTTCACCTGGTCAAAGGCTTTCTTCAAATAGATGCAGTATTTTGTGTGGTTCCTCGCAGTTAGACACAGGCAGACAGAAACCACACATCCAAAAAAGCGCTAGACGGCCGTTTCATCCTATTGGGACTCGTCAGTAGCGCGCACCCGCCGAATCCTACCGGATTCGAACCCACTACCTTACTCTTGCGAGTCAGCGACTCATGTCACTGAGCTATGGGCGACGGCAGCGGACCGCCATGACAGATGTCATGGCGGGGCCAGCCCTGTCCTCTGCACATTCATAACGTGCAAGACAGTGGAGGATGAGCCGCGCTATATCGCAGTTAGACATTAGTCATGGTGGTCCGCTGCCGTCGCCCATAGCTCAGTGACATGAGTCGCTGACTAGCAAGGGTAAGGTCATGGGTTCGAATCCGGCAGGATTCGGCGGGTGCGCGCTACTGACGAGTCCAACTAGGACGAAACGGCCGTCTAGCGTTTTCCTGGATGTGTGAGGGCTGTCTGCCTGTGTCTAACTGCGCCGAACTACACAAAACCTAATAAATCCCCCTACTGCTTACCATTAGATGTAGGTTCCGTCTGGTTCACTGCCTAAAATCAGTCACGCCCTGTCACCAGCCGATTGGTAAAGCATGAGCCGTCTAGTATGAAACCGTGTTGTGCAAGCGTCAGTAGACCTTTGTTTGGAGCAGTTGCGGTAGACCCTTCATCACAATCTTCTCTGCAACCTTGCCCAAAATAAGGTGGATGCACCATTTGCCCCTCATTTTATGTTGCCAACTTATTTTCAACACTGACTTAAGGGTTTAAAAGCTATCTCAGGATAACCTCCAGACCACATATCTTTCATGGTTATTCAGAAACAACCAACTTCCATGAACTGTCAAGATTCTATGGCACAGAAAGACTGTGGACCGGTAGACATAGACACACGTTATTGTGCGAGGCGGCTACGTATTCCGAGTGACTCACATGTCAAGTGGTCACATCTGTCAGAATGTTCAAATGTGCTTGACGGCTTTGGTAAAATATGTCCATTACGTAGTTATACAATGCTTCGTGGTATGAAGTGAAGTTGACACCCTCAACTGTGTGGTTTGACAGCTTTAACTTGCATCTGTCGCGTGTCAGGAGCAGGAATCAGGGGAACATTCATTAGATGTCAGCCTACGCCACACGATTGCCGCTTAACAACGAAGCAAACCAAGAACTTTGGCGTTCGGAGGTCTAGAAGGAAATCGTGCAGTTTGAAGAGTTCAGTGATGAGTCTTCTGGGTACTTGAAACAATCGCTCTTGTTTTCTGTGGCATACGTGCACTGGTCACCGATGCAACATGTCAAAAATACTTGAACAGCTTCCCGATCACTGCGCAGTGTGACAGTTCTTCCCTTTTTCCATTGCTGAACTGCCCTTTCAAAGAAATACTACATACAATATGGTGTGATTTGCTAGAAGACAAAAGAGGCGGTGCTATGTTTAAGTGAATTATCGCGCAATGTGGCAATTGTGGATTTTACTTGTCAGTGGATACAAATAAAAGGAGGAGGTGCTACCATCGGCATGATTTAAACACAGCTTGTATTTCATTCATTATTTATATACCAGCCTATTAACCGAGAACACTCGGACCTGTCCCGCTGGTTTGAGCTGAGGATAGCGATGTTCATGGGATTAAAACACCAAGGTTGTTGAGGTACATAAATGTTTGTTCTTGCTCCGTAGACTCGCTGTGCTTCGAAACCAACTTTGGGGCAACTTCGTTTACTGTTTGTGAAAAAGCGTTTGCGCTTTGCACGTCACGTAAATTTCACGGGATTTTGCGACCACCCGGTTGGCGATCGACAAAGTGTTTTTCTTTTTTTTTCGTCGGTTCGTTGTGCCTTCCCAGCCTAGCGGCTTCACGTCATTCACACACGATGAGCCGATTTACAACACATGTGCTCCTTAATGATGTCCAGGCGGCGCCTCACAGCCAGGAGACATTATCAGGTAGAAACGATTGCCTCCGACTCTGTTTGACTTCAATTTATGATTAACTACTGATGGCATGTGAGTTGCGTTGGTGAGGAACGGGTGGTTTCGTCACTCCGCAGAGCAACAGGCACAGCTCTTGAAAACAATATTGTCACGTTCCTTGGGAAATAAGCGGATGCTGCAGACCTGCAATACTTCTTTTTCTGGCTGTTTCTCAAGTCCAGGTACCATTACACCCAGCGTATTAGGGCGTTCACCATAGAGTATATAAACTCGTGTAGGCCGCAACGAACATGCGAGTAGAAATGCTCTCAGTAATTTTTCTGCAAGTCAACTACGCATACATGGAATTAGGGCAGAAATACAGTCTGTTGTGACACTAGACAACTGTATATATATATATATATATATATATATATATATATATATATATATATATATATATATATATCAGTTGTCTAGTGTCACAACAGACTGTATTTCTGGTTGGCGGCATCCGGTTTCGGATTTGCCTGTCACTGTGGCCACCCGCAAAGCGCCTGCGTCTACAGTGGGACCATGGATGA